TCAAGTAGGAGAGAGACAGATGTCGAACGATGCCGAACGCGGAGGCCGATTGTGCCTCTTTGTCGCTCGTTCCGCGCTCTCGCTTGCACTTCAAGCCTTAAATGGAACGCCTCAGAGCGAAGTAACGCTGCATGAGTCATGTTTTTTCGTGCGTGCAGCCCGCTCCATCGAATTATAAGACGTTGTCACGTCAAAAAGGGAAACTTACGAATATCAGAATAGAGTTCTTATGAAACAATTGAGACATTATTATGTTTTTTAAAGGTTGCGAAATTATTGTTTTTGGAACTGAAATTAAAATTGGGAAGCTTCGGAATAACATTTTTAAAACTAAAAGAAAGGGTAGTAATTTCCGAAACAACTTTAAATACATGGTAGTTTACATACAGATCGTTTGTCTTCCAGAAACGAAAAAATCGGAGGATCTTGCAACTCATACGACAGATTCTGCTGAAAACAATCCGTCACCCCCGTCAATCACCCAACCTGCTCCTTCGCAACAAAATGTAAGCAAATCGCTTTGATGATGACCATGTTTAGATGTTGGTATAAATCCATACCATCTCCATGTGTTAAATTTTGTTATTTCTTTGGTATCTTCAGCTTATTTTTTTGCACTCCTCACTCCTTAGATTATTTCACTGATGAGAAAACATTCGCTGATATGAGAGATAGATCATGTCACAAAACAACAGCATGCTTATATATATACAAGGTCGACAAATTTCCCTACTCCTTCGTTAACGATTCAAAAAATGATACAATGTGCCACATCTTTTACTTTTGTCTCCTTCCTACTATTTGTCCTAAAGATAAAGCATCTGTTGCGGTTTCTTGTAAGGCTAAAGTTCTATTTTGATTGCGTACAAACCCGTTACTGTTTAATTTTCAATGCAGTCCTGTTGGAATTGTGGAAGGAAAGCACATGAGACATGCTCGGGGTGTAATACGGCAAGATATTGCGGATCGTTTTGTCAACACAAAGATTGGGATAACCATCATCAGATGTGTTCGAGAGAAAAAACGAGATCCTTAATAACTACGATTAATTCTTCGTCTTCTTCAACTTCTTCTACTACAACCACTCCATCTAACGGCTGTACAACGGCCATAAGTCAACAGCAAGTTACCCAAACCGACCAGCAAATCAAATTTAAAAAGTGACATGCCAATAAAAGAGATGCCAAGACTGCAAAGTACCTAAATGTGCAATAAAAATAGTACGACTTTACGTCTTTTCTAGTCCATCATAGTACCTACACAATGTAATTATTATTTAAATATTTATTTACATATTACTAGTTTTTTTCCTAAAGTACCAAAATAATATTTTTTTATCATTTTTGCGGCAGCTCATAATGAAGCGCCCAATATCTATGCCTGTGGGATGGAGATGTTTTTTTTTTTCAATTTTCAAGTACTTCTCTCGTACAGATTAGTAATAGTAATTAATTGCTAACAGTTCTGATAATTGATTTTATTTATATTTAGTGTTAGTATGTACCATGTGTTTAATTCTGATCGTACAAGTGATGACTCTAAAACAAAATATTTAGTATAAGACCAGTGGCGGCTGCGTATGCGCATGGTACACTGCGTGACTGCATCCATTATAACTTTATAATTTAAAATGTTTAATGCAGTCAACAGCAAATTACTTGTGTATGTTTTTCTCCGAATATATGCCCTCGCGTTTTCCTTATGATGCACCTACTACGATTTTTCCACTTTAAGTTTTGAAAGGTTTAAAATATTCATGAATATCTATTTCGTCCCGTTCAAAGTAATACCCACCTGATATTATACGCTTCTGCCAACGTTTTTTTCTCTCCTCAATGCAGTTTAAAGAATCATTTTTTGTTCAACTTCTCCTTCGATGTCATCGTTATCTCCTCAATCGTAGCGTAACGTTGCCGTTTTATGGACCTCTTCAGTTTCTGCAACAAAAAAAAATCACAAGGGGGGCCAGATCTGGGAAATACGGTGGATATGGCATTATTAGGGTGTTGTTTTTTGGCCAAAAATTCGCGCACAAGCAGGGGTGTTATCATGGTGCAAAAGCCAATTTTCGTTCTTCCACAAATCCGAGCGGTTCTGGCGGATTGCTTCGCGCAAATTGCACATAACTTACAGGAAATATTCCTTAATGTTCTACCTGTGGCAAGAAGTTGAGCAATTTTGGTACGAATTTCGCGGCGACCCGTCTCATGCCCAAATCATTGGTAAGAATCGAATGGCAGAAGTAAATCGATCTGTTTAGGTCCTCAGCAACTTCTCTAACGGTGATTCGACGATTGGTCAATACTATTTTCTTTACTTCATCAATATTTTCGTCTGTTGTTGTCGTACGGCACGCTCTTCGTCGTTCACATCTTTTCGGTCCTCTATAGCTGCACCATGGTAAACATTCGGAATGTGTCCGCGCACGTAATTTTGTTTTTCACACAAAATTTGATACAGATTCTTTGATCCGTTTTTTGGAATAGGCAAAAATCGAAAACGAGCCAAAACACGTGCAAGCAAAGCAGCTGTCAAAAATTAGCTGAAAATTCAACTTGACCAAACTTGTCGGTATAAGTTAGAAAAATCCAAAATCGAATATACGTAACCCGCGAAAATTCAAAATTCGTGATACTTTTTGAACAGACCTCGTGTATACAATAAACATATATCACTATAGCGACGTTTAAATGTAAGGTACTACTACATACTCATTCGAAGACAGTTTTGCTTGACGCTATATTGGCCAAACTAAAAGACCTTTTTACGTAGGAATCCGTGAGCACAAAAACGACTATAAAAAAGCAAATTCTAAGTAGCCCCTTCCTACAAAACCTCACTTATTAGGTATGTATTGAAACTGGTTTCAAGTCACAAGTTCAATTTCGACAGTTCCAGCTTCTTACCATATACCACAACTGTTTCAAACGTTTATTTTTAATAGCATCCTTTATTCTAATTCAAGGAGAAAATGCTATGATTTCTCGATCGGACATAGAAAACAACCTTGTAGGTAACAATTATTTACATCTACAACAAAATAAAAAATTACTTACCCAATGCTAAAATTAAATTAACTGTCTCTTCCTTTACTANACAATCAATTGAAAGTAAAACTAACAAACCTAACTTTTCAGTTACTATAAATCTAACTACCTAACTATTAAAACACACATGTTTAATTTTCCTTTCTTAAGTATAGATACAACAATGTACTCAAACTATGTTAAGCAAGAAATAAAAGGCTTATTTATTTATTTATTTATTTATTCTTTTATCTGTACATGTGTATTTTGTAATACTTTTTGGGGACTCATGTACTTCGACGGTTTGCAAGCAATACATTGTGACAAAAACCTACTAAGTTTACACTAGTTAGATACTTATGTGATATTTCTTAACACAGACGCTATGAATTGCAACCTTGAAAAAAACTCAAATTAGAAGCGAAACGTCGGTGCTGACTTTGTTATAATAAATATTTTTTGTCCCTAATCGGCGGGTTTAACAAATTACATTGTGACAAAAAACCTACTAAGTTTACATTAGTTAGATACTTATGTGATATTTCTTAACACAGACGCTATGAATTGCAACCTTGAAAAAACCTCAAATTAGAAGCGAAACGTCGATGCTGACTTTGTTATAATAAATATTTTTTGTCCCTAATCGGCTCTGATTATTATTTTACTATCGATTTTTAAGATCATTATGCATTAATTTCTATAACCGAGAGTTGAAGTTGCTCACAGTGTACGACGGTCTAGCATAACTAATCTGCTATACACGTTAGGCGTAGTTTCCGTTATGCGATGTTCACACTATCGAGAGTCTACTGTAGTATTTTTTATTTTGGTATAATACTGGGGTATAGACGTAAGCTTGTGCCGTTATGTACCAGCCGCCACTGTAATTGATATTTCCTGTCTGTCTCAAAATTTTACAAAGTTATTTTACTTCTCAGTATCTAATAAATTAAGAGAAAGTTTGTGCAATATCACAAATTTTAATATTTTTGATTCGATAATTGTTTCGTTTCATGAAGTACCTACAATTTCACTAAAAAAAAGAAATATTTCAGCAAACATCTCAGTTAATTATTATATTTAATAGTTTTGCTAATCATTAACGATTAACAAAGTGTCTCGTTTTAAATACATATGCATGTACCTATTACCTATTTTTAAAATAGCTACCTTTTTCAAACATTCCTTCTTTAGTGTAAGTAAACGGATTTACAAATTATCGATTTATTAGTAAATTCAAAAATGTAAGTGTTAAGTGTTATCAAATAAAGATGAAAGGTTATTATATTTGATAAGCAAAAACTCCTGACACATTTTTTTATGTATGTTCTAGTCATTTGGTGTAAATTTGTATTTATATTAATTTTTTGTTTATTTACTGGCTGTGAAAATTTATATACGATTGTCTGTTTTATGTTACTTCAGTATCTCTCCTGCGTATGTAAATGTTGTACCTATACTGTTTTCTTTAACTATTTATTCGAGTATTTATTAAAACATTTCGTAAACCTCCCTCCTANAGGAAGGGAGTCAGACAGGGATGTACACTGTCACCGCTACTTTTTAATCTATACATCGAAGATGCGATCAACATCATTAAAGACAGTACACCTGTAGGGATAGATATACAGACGCAAAAGATTAGTATGCTTAAATTTGCAGATGATATAGCAGTATTAGCATCTAGCAGGGATGAGTTAGAGATAGCTTTAAAATACGTTTAGTAATACATTTTTAATTTAGTTTTTATTAACTTGATATTGTTTTTAACCACACTGAATTTAAGGTTTTTACAGAATGCGTAATTATGATTCTTTAAACCACTTTACAAGCAATCCAAGTAATATTCACCCTGTTCATGAAGAAATTAAATTCTCGTGTATATACCACCGGTGATACACTGTTGATTTGGGTGTTTTTTGGTTGCCTATATATAGATACTAAAAATGCGGTATAATTGAAAATACCTCACGATATCTCTGTTGAATATTTTTGTAATTTAGTTTGTTCGATTCTGAAATTTAAGATATTGCTTCTACAAAAACTTTAATCTAACTAACTATCCAAGTTCTAATTAGGTAAGTGTGACATTTATATTAATAAAAATGGTTTATACGACGTCTTACAATAATATTATCCAATGATCCAAGAATATTTAGGTACGACTGTCAATTCAGTAATCTGATCATTTTAAATTTCAGTAAGTATTATTCCCTTTAAAAATAAAGTTACTACAAATATAGGGACAATGCATTTGCAAAATTCTATTTTAAACAAGAAAGTGCACTTTTTATATATTTCATATACCTACATATATTTAAATATGCATTTTTTTATTTGGATTGGAAAATAAAATTTGTAGGAATGTTTTTTGGTTTCTGAAAGCATAAAAACTTTATCACTTGTCTTACAATTAAACGATTTTACACTTTCTATACGTAGCAGTAGATATTTTTCGTATTCTTTTAATTGAATAATTCACAATATTTCACATAGATCCAACAATAATGTGAATTTAATTACCTAGTAATCAAATGTATTTTACGATTTGTTTTACAAACAACCCCCACTTTGAGCTGATATTACATAACTAATGTGTGTTCAGCGTACCAATCGTTTGCTATTTCGAATAAGTAATTAGGCTAATTATTTTGTAGTTATAGAAAATCCTTTTAATATTTTGATTCCTTACAACTTCACCTTTTTGTGCGCCAAGGAGAAAAGATGAAGTTATGATTGGTAAACGTTCCGCCCCCACAAATAAAAAGACAAAATGTTAGGTAATAGTGGTTAAAAGTTCCCCGCCCATATAAAAAAAGAGGAAAATCTCAACAGATGGTCGTCACCCTAGCGCTTACTACTAAAAATTTTTATAGTCTAGAAAGTCATCCTTACCCACCTCACCTTACCGGTCGACGGTGATTTCATATACTCAATATTCATTTGGGCTATCTGACTAGTCACCCCTCCAACCCCCTTACACGTTCTCCTCCAGCCCAGTGAGGATTCATACTTCTTCACATTCACCTGATTCTTTATTCAACTTTCTTCAACCACCAGGATGGTGTCGTCTTACAACCGTCTAACCCTCTTTCTAATGATTGACGATCCCCTCATTTGCACATTAATCATTATTTATTTCATTATATGATTTACGGAGCCGAACCATAGGTTCAACCATAATGGGGGGGGGGTTCCATAAAGAGAAGCCAGACTAAGACAAGTCCCTGAAAGAGGGCAGCAGCTCTTTCAGTATGCAGGTTGGCAGAAATCACGAGGAGCGGTATGGCACTCTGATACACAATACTGCGATGTGGAAGGCATCAAGAAACTACCACATTATGATTCTGAGTAAAACGTACATTACAAATTAAATGATGGCGTCGTCTGGGGTAAACCACTACGGACGTAAACTAGTCCCCCATTCGGATGTCCGGGCGGGGACCACCTCGGGAGATGTCATCAATAAGTGCAATAGGGATAGGTGCAATATTTCACGAGTCGGCGCGTGGACAATGAGACAAGTAGAGAAATTGAAAATTTTAAAAATTGGGATGAATAGATTAGAATTAGATATAGTAGGCATTAGTGAAGTCTGTTGGCCCGAAGTCGGAGACTTCTGGAGTGAAGACTTTAGAATAATACATACAGGGTCGGTGGAAGGTAATTCAAGGGTGGGAATTGTAATGTCTAGGAAAGCAGGGCAAAGTGTAGTTAGTTATTTACAAAACAGCGATAGGATAGTTATGGTTAAATTAAGCTCGAAGCCAGTAAAAACGGTATTAGTGCAGGTCTACATGCCTACATCATTCTACAGTGATGAAGACGTGGAAGCGGTGTAAGCAAATATAGAAGACGTGTTAAGTTTAGTGAAAGGGCAGGAAAACCTAATTATTAGGCAATAGAAATGATAGGGGAGATAAATTGATAAAATTTTGCGATAAACGTAACTTAACTATAGCGAATACTTTATTCAACAATTACACTAGGAAGCGCTATACGTGGCAGATGCCAGGTGATTTAGGGAGATATCAGTTAGATTACATACTTGTTAGGCAAAGATTTAAAAATCAAGTGAAGGACTGTAGGAGTTATCCAGGAGCAGATATAGATAGCGATCATAACTTAGTAGTTATGAAGACCAATCTTAAATTGAAAATTCTGAAAAAGAGGAAAAGTAGGAGACGTATTAACTTCGAAAATATAAAATGTAACGAAACGCGTGATAGGCTAGGTACAAGGACAGGCGAAATACCAAAGGAGATAGGAGAAACGAATGACAGGGTCATAGAGACAGAATAGAACTGCATTAAAACGTGCCTAAAGTTAGCAGCTACAGAAATACTAGGTCTTAAACAAAACGAAAGTAGGAAACCCTGGATAAGAAATGAGCTTGTAGGATAGAAGAAAAGCGGAAATACAAAAGCAGGACAGACGAAGAAGGGTAAAAAAGATATAAAGCTATAAAGTGGGAAATAATTAGAAAGTGTAGGGCATCTAAGTAACAGTGGATTGATAGAGGAGGTGTAAAGAAGTAGAAGAAAAGTGTGGAAGTAGGTAAAACCGTTGAGGCCTATAATATAATTAAAACGAATTTTAGAGATGTAGGGTACAGTAGTAATAATATAAGAAACGAGGCAGGGGTCATTATGATAGAAAATGAGGAAAAGGCAGATAGGTGGAAAGAATATTTACAGAATCTATACGCAGGCAATGAGTAAGGATATATATTAGAGAAAGAAGATAATGTGGAGATAGATGAGCTAGGTTATCCTATAATGAGAGAAGAGTTTGAAGTAGTATTAAAAAACTTAAAGAATAATAAGGCGTCAGGTGTAGATGGGATAGAGGGGGAAATTCTAAAGCATGCACGACAAGAAATTACAGATCGTATGTTTAAGCTAGTTAGTCACATTTACGAAACGGGGAAAGCCCCAGAGGATTATGAACGGAACGTGGTAGTAACCAGACCTAAAAAGAGAGGCGCGGATAGGTGCGAGACATTTAGAACAATCAGCTTGACTTCCTTTCACTCCGTCAAAAATCTTAAGTACAATTGTACAGAGCGGGGTGGAAAAAAGGGGCGGAAGAATTATTAGGGGAAAATCAATTTGGATTTAGAAGAAATAGAGGAACACGAGAGACCATTCTAGCTTTACGTGTAACAATAGAAAAAATGATAGAAAAAGGAAAGAGTGCGTACATAGGATTTGTAGATTTAGAAAAAACATTTGACAATGTTGAATGGGACAATATGTTAAATATACTGAAAAATGTAGGGATGACTTACAAAGATAGAAGAGTGATACTTACTTTGTATTAAGAGGAACAGGCAGTTATACAGATGGGGCTGCAACATAGAGAAGTAAATATTAGGAAGGAAGTCAGACAGGGATGTACACTGTCACCGCTACTTTTTAATCTATACATCGAAGACGCGATCAACATCATTAAAGACAGTACACCTGTAGGGATAGATATACAGACGCAAAAGATTAGTATGCTTAAATTTGCAGATGATATAGCAGTATTAGCATCTAGCAGGGATGAGTTAGAGATAGCTTTAAAATACGTTTAGTAATACATTTTTAATTTAGTTTTTATTAACTTGATATTGTTTTTAACCACACTGAATTTAAGGTTTTTACAGAATGCGTAATTATGATTCTTTAAACCACTTTACAAACAATCCAAGTAATATTCACCCTGTTCATGAAGAAATTAAATTCTCGTGTATATACCACCGGTGATACACTGTTGATTTGGGTGTTTTTTGGTTGCCTATATATAGATACTAAAAATGCGGTATAATTGAAAATACCTTACTAATGAGTTTAAATTAATTATCAATCATTTAATTGAATAAAACGTTAATGAAAATAAACATCTTTTATTCTAGCAAGAGATTTATTGTTCTTGGGGCACAATGAATTATAAAAAAATCATTGTATTATAAAAAATTTTTATATTAAAACAATTAGACACTATAAAATAAATACAACAAAAATTATTTGAATATTTCAATTAAACAATTCTTTGTTTTGTCTTTACTTTTATTAAGTGAACTGGTCCATTCTTCTTTATTACGTTTGAATAAAGTTAAGTTTATTCGGCTGGCAATGATCCTTCCAAATTGTGAATTAGACCAGGATGCATCCTTTTGAGACAATTCGTTCATAATCATCAGTTTCATTTTCAAAGTGGCAACTTCCCATAAAGCATCAAAACTTCTAGAACCATATTTGGAAGACACCAACTCTGGATAAGTTCCCTAACAATATAAAATCTGTTTATTTACTAACCGGGTTACAAAGAATATACAGTAGACTCTCCATAGTGTGAACATCAAATAACTAAAATCCCGTATAATGTGGCTAGCATATTAATTATGGTAGGCCATCCTTTACCAGAAACAAACGAAACCTCCGCTTGTAGAATAAAATGTCCACTGGTCTTAAAATTCGACCACTGCTGTGAATCCTCGATATTATTAGTATTTTTCTAATTGTATTAAGTTGGCGGATGTTTTCAATGAGTATGTATTATTTTAAATATAGCATTTGTTAACAAGAACTAATATGAACTGTTCATTCACACTACTGAGGGTCAACTCTACATGCAGTTCAATACTAAACACTGTATAAAGAAGAACAAACTAATTGCTAGAGTTTATAGATTTTTGTATTATTATAAGAAACAATTTCGTATTAGAGAATTTGTGTATCATTTCACCTGCATTTTTTTAATAAGTTTTTCCCTACTCTTCTCTCCTACATATGGACTTTTCACATAAGAATCGACTATATGGCAGCCCATACTGTTGGAAAACATCCCTTTCAAATCGTTCGAATCAAAACTTAATATACTGTTGACCAATTTTATGGGTTTATTGAAATTTAGCAGTAATTGAGCAAGCAAAGTTCCATGTAAATTAAATTTTTGTTTGTCCAACGATGAATATTCACTTTTATCATTTTTGGTAATATCTTCAAATTTTTCCCATTTTGAAAGACATAAAACTATGCTGTTTTGTCTTTCTAGTGGTTCAACACAATTAAATAGCTTAAAAATTGCCTAAAAATATACGCTTTAATTAAAAACTAACTAAATTAAAAATAAAACTATTTTTACCATGATAAAACTGCCCTGTTTGGTAGACAATCGTTTACAAGCATTCCCCAAGGACAAAATGACTCCAGTATGTTGTTTACTGGCTATTTCTTCAAGATGATCAATTAATTCGTCAAAAATTGGTTCAAACTAAAATGCAATAAACAGTTACATCTTTTACAAAAAACAATTAATAAAACTATTACTTCTGTTTTCTCTTTGCAATTATCTAACAGTTTCTGAACGGCAAAGTTTGTATTTCTCTCTTTTGCAAGGAAAGCCAATTTAGAATAAAATAATTTGGCATATATTTGAGTAAATATTTTCGAAGTAGAATGTTGCAAGAAGGTTTCCAATAAGGCTATAACAGGTTTTGGATAAAGTTCATTTTCATAAGAATTTTCTTTAGTTTTTTCAAATTCAACCACAAAACAGTCATCTACTAATTTTTTAAAATAAGATTTTAATAATTTAGGATACAATTTCGCTACTGATTTAATAAGTATTTGAAGTAAACCAGACGTTAAGTCATTATAAGCCAAATCCAAAAATTGAGGCCATGTCACAATTCTTTCTGCATAATCTTTAATAATTGCTTTGTACTCATCAGATATTTCAACTAAATTTGATTCAGTTTCGATTTTCTTATCTATACTCATGTTTTTATTTTCACTATTATCTGTGATCATAGCAAAGGTTTGTAAAACAGTCCTTATGATGTGATTTGCATAAGTGTCCCATACAAAATCTTCTAGATTGTTAAGAAGAAATTTTGCAACCTTCAGAACAAAATCTGTATATTCTTCATATAATTCGGAGTTATTTTTTTTAGCTGTTTTCTTGTAACATTGCAAAAAAATTGTTTCAACAACGTGACTAGCAAAAGTATCAGTACAAGATCGCCTCAAGTCTTTTGATATAATCTCTATAAATTTGTTTATTATAGAGTCACTGGCAAATGGCAATAACGTCTCTATAACTCTGCAACCAACTTGGTTATAACAGCAGTTCTCCTCTTGGTTTTCCATTTGTTCAAAAACATTACATACAAACAAGTCTGAAATTGTTACTAATAAATTTCAAAAAATTCATATAATAAGAATTACCTACTTTTCTCTTCGTTATTTTCAATTTGCTTGAAGTGTGTAACAATTTCTATTAAATAATTGTACAGATCTGGCTCTAGTTGCACCCCCCTTCCATAACAACCCTTTTTACCATATTTTTTTGCGTTTGTTATAAACGACTTTTTACGTTTGCGAGTAAAACGTTTTACGGGTGGATTATCCATTGTTATTTATTAATTCCTCTTGGACTAAAACTTTTAAATTATAATTTTATAAAAATGTAAGTGTTAAGTGTTATCAAATAAAGATGAAAGGTTATTATATTTGATAAGCAAAAACTCCTGACACATTTTTTTATGTATGTTCTAGTCATTTGGTGTAAATTTGTATTTATATTAATTTTTTGTTTATTTACTGGCTGTGAAAATTTATATACGATTGTCTGTTTTATGTTACTTCAGTATCTCTCCTGCGTATGTAAATGTTGTACCTATACTGTTTTCTTTAACTATTTATTCGAGTATTTATTAAAACATTTCGTAAACCTCCCTCCTACCTTTAATAAATTACACAATTTTTACATTAAAGCACAAAATAATAAATACGTTTTCGTCTTACACACACATGCTCACCTACATACTTAATACAAATATTATTTCTTGGCTATTTCATAAAAAATGCACACAAGGCGATTGTTATGGTTTTTTTTTAAACTTTATCTTCTGCTTACTCCGAAATAAATATTTTAAACTTATTATGATGGTAATTTTTATAAACAATAATAAAGCTTGTTTATAGTTCTGATTAGACAATCTCTAGTTCTTTGATTGTNTTCGGTCGTCTTCAGGCTAATGAGAATTACCATTATAATAAATTATCGATATATTTTATAATAATGGGAAGCACAGATTGAAATTTTTTTTGCATTTTCACCAATTAATAACGATAACAAAATAAATAACGATCACAGTCAATTACTATACATTAACGTGTAGTACCTTATTGGTTTTAATTATTCTGAGAAATCCAATAATGCGACGATAAAAATGTGCAAATTTAAAAGAAATTTAATCTGCCCTAATTCAAAATGTTTTATTTTCTCCAGTATATTTTATCTTAATAGAAATTTTAGTGTGAAAATTGATTGAAAGATATTTTTTTGCAATATAGTATACAGATGGGTTAAACGTTTTAAAATTGAAAAATGTTGATGCATTTAAATTTTACATAAAAATCGATGTATTACCTAACTGTGGTTGTTGAGTTTTAATCTATTTTAAAATATAAAGTGTCCACAATCAACCATATTAAATTGTAATGAGATAATAGCACATGCAAGTTCAAGAAGTTATTTTTATTTGAATACTAGATGTACGAATAGATAATTTTGAAGTGCTTTTTGTATGCAATTGAAAATGTTGATACATTTAAATTTTACATAAAATTTTATGAATAACTGTCGTTAAGTTTTAATCTATCGTATTATAAAATCTACAATCAATAAGTTTAAATTATAATGAGATAATAGCACTTGCAAATTCAAGAACTTATTTATTCAAAGAAAGATTTATTTTCGTAGGAATAGATAATTTGAAGTGCTTGAATATATAATTTTTTCCGCTCACTAGTTCGCGTAAACCTGATTTTATTATGAATATAACTGATTGATAATTATCAACCTTGTATAATTTTTATAGAATCCTAGACAGCACTCAAGAAAGCAAGACCTACGGTAACATATACATAAATATAACAAGATACATCCAATTTATTCAAAACCTTAACAGTGTGGAAACTGGTAGATTGACAGTATCCTAGAAATTAAGCTGGAATAGGTATCTACCTAATAAAAATGTACACAAAACTCGTTTTGAAACGAGTACTTTTTATTATCGTTTTCTGTTGTTTAACAGGTGAGTTTAATTTCTTTTAACATCAAATGAATGGTAGTTGTAAATCATTTACAAATTACCTACAATAAATAATTACTTAATTACTTTAAGCATCTGTGATGTATGTCAATAATTGTCATGACGTAGTCTGAAACACAATTATTCTAAAAGTAGCTTCTCAAATAAAGAGTGGGGTGAATAGAAAGGCGTTTTTGAAATGAGAAAAGATGAAAATAATGAAGAACAAAACTCCTGTATGTCCCTTGTACCTATTCTGTGGCACCATCCTGTTGTGTTAATTCTTCAACGTGTCAATTCTGGAATAAAAAAGTTTTCCAAATATCCGCCAGAGGTTACAATTACATACAGTTGCACCCCTTACATCTTCGAGAAAAAGGTCTGATCGCTCCGAAATCACTTACTGCAAACGGTGAAGCGGAAACGTTGATTCTGGTCATGGGGTGGTTTTGATATGTATTAATATCGGCATTTCTGTTAACAAAATCACTCATGATCAAATGAAAATTACCCTTACCGATCAACATTAGAAATAGTTCATTTTCATCTTCAAAAATTGTTTGTTTTCTCTCTGCGGTTTGCAAAGTACAGGCGTTGCTGAATAAGATTTTCTTCCATGATTCTCACTTATTAATTGTTAAAATAGTCGTTTCTAGTGTTTAATTTTTAGTAATAAAAATTTTAAGTGAGTGAGTTAAAAAACAGTTGAGTTATTTTCATTTCTGAAACGTCGTTCCATTTTGCTCCATCAACATAAATCATTGTCTATAAGATTCTGTATAGAAGTGTTTGTGATTTACAAATTAAAAATAAATTCTGGTAATAAAACGCTGCTTCCTATCGTTTCATTAGTATGAGTGGCGAGCTTCTTGAGAGGTAAGACTGGATGTGGACTGTCCAGCATCGGAGATGGAAGGATCTCTGAAGAAACTCACCACTCCTGCTGGGGAAACGTTAGGGAGTAACCCCAAGCGACGACGTCCTTTGGAACCGAATCAGGATAGCATCAGTTCACTAACCGACCGCAAAAGCCATTACCAGTTTGTCATACAGTAAAAGGCAAAATTTGTTTTCTCTTACCTTAGGATTATCCTTTGCATGGGATACCAGAATCCGTCAATATCTTTACACACCTTCAAACCAAGAAAACCCATTTCTATTAAGAGATAGTGCCTTACATACGGTCGATCCGTCTCTCGAAACAAAAATTATAATTCATGGATTTTTTGAAAATGCTGATCGGTATTGGCTACGAAATATTCGTAGGGCTTATTTCGAAAGGGGCAACTATAATGTCATATTGGTAGACTGGTCATATTGGGCTATTTGGAGACCGTTTAACGCTATCAACAATATACCTAATGTCGGATTAGATGTGGGCGATGCGATTCTTAAATTAGTTTCATCTCAAGCACTAGATATTAAAAAAGTTCATATTGTTGGATTCTCGATGGGAGCACATGCTGCAGGATTTGCAGGTCAACGAGTCTATGAATCCTTAGGAACAAAGGTAGCTATTCTATTTGAAGCATTTACACTTCATAGTATTTACTTAATACGTCATTAGGTACGTAAAACTTAAATTGTTTTAAGCAAAAAAAGGGTATTATCATTCATTCTTATAGGAATTAAATACATTTATATATTATCATTTAGATTACAAGAATAACAAGTTTAGATGGTGTAGGACAATATTACAAGGACGTCAATGACACTGAACGATTAAGTTCAGACGATGCCGATTATGTTGATGTTGTCCACACAAGTTGGGTTGGAAGGCATGATCCATATGGGACTGTTGATTACTATGTTAATGGTAAAAATTTCCAAAAAGGTTGTCCAGATATTTTAACATTCGAAAGAAGAAGTATTTTTACATTTTTAATCGATGCCGGTAAGTTTTGGTACACAAATGCATTTCATTTTAAAAGATTTTTTACTCAAAATTGAAACAGTAGCTAAATATAATTTTCACACTCTTTTTGTTCTTTGGGAAACTGTTTCGCACCGTTGAGAAGTACAAAATTGTCTGAATCCATTTTAAAATGAATTTACAAAAAGCAAAAGTAGATCCAACTAACTACAATTTATAAATTTTTGAATCATTTTTAAACCTTTGCAAGAACGTTATATGTATTATAATTATTAGTTATACATGCATCTACATTTAAGTGCATATGCCACGTAGGTACATGCAAACGCAGAAATCGGCCATTGACGGAAATTTATACACACAGGGCGTTGTGAATTTCTTTACGTATTTGTTACTTTGTGGGCATTTGATTTTACCAACAGCGCGTTTTTGATGATAATGGTAATTTCTGTGATGAAAAACTTTAAAAAACTTTTGGGTGTTTCATTCCCACCAGCCAGTAATGCTGGTGGGCGAGCAGTCCCTCCGGACTACGCCGGAAGGTAGGGCGGAAGGCCCTCTTCAGTCTGCTTTCAGGAATCGTGGGAATGGGTGGGTGGTGGTTCGGGTGAGAAAGATGAGACGGACGAAATGAAGACAGAAGAGAATGAAAGAT